ACGGTCCCCACGTCTAGCCCGACTGGGGTCAGGCTACGGACGAGGACCGTTCCCTGCGAGTGAAAGAGCTCATTCCGACTATAACAGCCAATGGGAAACCGCTACATAGCAACATTCAATCCATTCCATTCGAAGAAAAACATAACCGACCATGCGCCCTACGATCAATGTGAATCAGCGGTCAGGAAACGTGTCGCACAAAACACAGGGTCCCGAACTGAGGACTGAACCGCTGCAAGTGGGACTTGGTCCCGGGAATCCCTCCACAAACAACCCGGAGAAAAACCAGATTGAAAAACCAGGCGATGGAATAATGTCCAGCGACAGAAATGGCCAAAACCAGACCGCTGTCCTGACTAGATCCATCCCTGAAAAAAATTGAAAAAAAACAAAACATCACTGCCACAGGCCTACAAAAACTCACAAACCAGAAAAGGAAAGGAGGATCCCTCTACTTCCTAACTTAGGTTCCTATTCAGGCAGGCCAACGGCCCACCCGCCAACTACCCCATTCCCCAGGCCTGATCATCCAACCCACGTTAACCTGACGCTAACCGAGAACCTTTAGATAGCCTATCAGTTGCTACATTACAACAATTATCCTATTACAACTCTCTATCCTACTATCAACTAAAGACAAAACCAATTATCACTCAACCACCTAATACGGTGGGGAGGTCCTATCGGAACTCCAGGTACGAACAGCTGCTCCTTCCGCCTTCAAAGACCCCCTGCCCATCTCCTGCGATTCTGCTACTGAGCACAAGGTAGGTATACTTCCCACTGTCCAGTACTGAAAAGCCAAGAATTCAGGGTTAGCTTACCCTGTGGGGAGATTGAGGAGATCATACGATCTTTGCACCAAGTCTCGTTGAACCACTGTATGCCTCCTTCCCTATTGTCTGCCTTTGTCACCTTGCGTCTCCAATCAGCCAGAATGGCCATGCGGAGGTGTCTACCCAGATAAGTTCTGGTTTGTTTGTTTGTCCACTCCTCCTTGTCAAAGACTCTTGCATTTCTCTCATGCCAGATTGTCGAGATTGCAGTCGCTCGTACCACTTGACCAACGTAACCCCACCCTTTGTCCAACCCCATGTCACCAGGTACACCACCCAGGAGGACCCACTGTTTATCCCATGGGAAGACCGAGTTTGTGACTTTATGCCAAGCTTCTCTGATCCAATTCCATATGCTAATGGATCGAGGGCAGTCCCACCATAGGTGGACTGTGGATTCAAAAGCCCAATTGCATCTGGTGCACGTCAAGTCCACTTGAACTCCATGTTCTGTTAACCAAACGGACGAAGGGGTAGCCATCAGAGACAGCAGCCACAGAATTGAGGCTGATCTCTGGCAAGGAATCAGCTTTAGCTGTTCCCAACACCTTAACAGAGCCTCCTCAATGATTACAGGATCCAGTCGTATAGCTCGAGACCATCTTGCTCTTGCAGCCATCTGTGGGGTCTTCAGAGGTAGGAAATGGTCGTATCCCACTCTCTGATGGTAGTTCAATAAGCATAAATTTTCGTTATTCTTCCCTGTTGCCCTCCACTCCCAAGTTTTAGGATCCATTTTCAGCTCACGTAACGGTTTACCTTTGTTGAAGAGGGTGCATTGGAGAGACCCTGCTTCTGTAACCGTTTCAAAAACACAAACTTGGGTAAGTGACTGACCCAGCGGTGGCTGGTCATTCTCTTCTTGTTCCACTAGCTCCTTGTGGTCTTCAAAGGTCCAACATTGAAACACGCGCTTACCATCCGACTGGATATTGATCAATTTCCAAAACTGGTTACCCTGAGCTGATTTGCAAGCAAACCACGTACCCGGAGGGTTGATACCTTCCGGGCTGATAATTACTTTCTAGTCTTCCAGAATAGCGTTGATAATAGCCCCCGTCCTTCTTCTAGCTTGTACATCCGGCCCAACTTCAATCTCAACCTGTCTTCGGAGGCCCACGTACCAGTCAAATCATCCCATAGATCCTCTATCCTCACCACTCCTTTCTCAATCCATGCCCTGCCAAGCTACCCGGAGCAGTGTCCGCCATGAAGCACACACCTTCTGGGGATCGAATGTGTGGATTTTCAAACAGAGTTTGTTCCAGAAACTCTGCTTTGGAAGAGGGAGTTCTGAAGACATATGGCCGAAGTTTCTTCCAGGCAAGAATTATTGCAGCCCAAAAGGGGGAGCTGATCCTATGGCGCTGAAAAGAGGGAATAAAGATCACAGTCCATACATCCTCCTCTCGTGCCAGGTTCCATTCCCTGGCCAAAATATGTTCTGCGAGGTAGACCCAGTGGGGAAACGGAGATTCCAAGCAAGCCCTAACCACCCACTTTACTAGCATCGCATCGTTCTGTCTTTTAGGATTTAGCATCCCCAAACCGCCCTTGTTTCTGGGAAGACACAACATCTCTCAAGCTACTTTAGAAATAAAGTTAGCATCTTCCTCAGCAAAAGGCTTCGAGAGAAATCTCACAGCCCGTCTTCGAACACTCGAATACAAATGGGAGTCGAAGGCACGTACTGTACCAACGAACCAGAGTAGCGCAAACAAAGCCCCTTTCAATACCATGGCGCGCCCAAACAGCGACAGATGGGGGGCTTTGCCCCATATGGATACCCGTTGGAGGGCTTTCTGGAGAAGAATGGCTTCTTGGTTGTCAGAACAGTCAATTAGTGCGATCTGAACACCGAAATCACTATCCTGGATTCGTTTCATGCCCCATTGTGAGTTCAAATTGTAGTCTGATGGGAAAAAATAGACAGATTTGTGCCAGTTAATCGCTGTTTCTGAGAGCGTCGAGTACTCGTCCAGGCATTCTTTCAATGCCGACAAGGAAGTTGGCGAGTTTTCCGAGACCGCAAACAAGTCGTCAGCCAGAGCTTTCACCTTATACTCAGAACAACCAGCTGGCATACCCCGAATCCGGGGGTTAGCCCGGATATTATTTAGAACTACTTCAAACTGAACCGCAAAGAGCAGGGGAGCTAGAAGGCACCCCTGCCTCAGTGACCGTGAGAGACTAAACTCCCTTGACAGACAACCATTGATCATAACAGCTGTTGTGGACAAAGTGTATAGAGCTTTCACCCAAAGGATGAAATTTTCTCCAAAATCCAGCCATTTCAAGGTTGTGAGAACATACGACCAATTTACATGGTCGTAGGCTTTCTCAAGGTCCAGCAATAGGACAGCGAGGTTACAGTTTTTATTCTGAATGATCTTCAATGTCTCGATTGTCGTGACTATATTGTCGAAAATCGAGCGGCCTCGAATGAAAGCCGCCTGATCTGGGACTACAAGGTTAGGTAGGTACCGACCCAGACGCCTTGCTAGGATCTTAGCCAACAGCTTGTACGACACATTCAAAACAGAGATTGGCCGCCAGTTTTTAATTTCGGACCGTTCGCCTTTTTTTAACAAGACTGAGATGGTGCCCCTCCGCATATTAGTCGAAAGCTTACCTCCTAGCAGAATTTGGTTGTACATCTCCACCAAATTCTCCCCTATAACATCCCAGATACACAAGAACAGCTCAGTGGGCAGGCCATCGCTGCCTGGGCACTTTCCTTTGGCCATTGAGGCCAGGGCAGAATGAGCTTCCGCTCCCGCAATGGAGCGGTCCAGGTCGAGTCTACCTGTAGCCGAAAGTTTGCACACAGTATGGTCCCAGTGATGATTATCTACGTTTAAGTTCTGAGTGATCTCGGTACCCTATGTCCGAGAGGTAAGTATATCCTTATAATAGAGAGAGGCATACTCACATAACTTTGTAAGTTCCTTCGTCTTCGGAGCATCTACTTCAAACGGATGCTTTAGTTCAATCATAGGCGGTGACGACCTAGAGGGCAGTAGCCTGCGAAAGGACTCTTTTGTCATCCGATCGTAGACTGCTACCCCCTTAACTCGTAGGCGGTCTACCCAAATCTCAGATTTTTCCTGCTGGTGAGCGTCCCACTCAGACAACAACTTTGACCGTTCCTTGCCCCATACCAACCCTGATATCGGGTGCTCTTTCATTCTTTCTTCAGCATACCTAATCTTCCTGATAATCCCCAGTTCATATTGTTGCCGGCTATGGGCCAAAATTCGGGAGAAAACATTCAGTATATTGGAAAAAGATTCGTACCAGCATCCCACCAGGTCTCAGTAGATTCATATAGCGACTTGGCTTCGTT